TTGCCCCCCCCCCCGTCTCTCTCTCTCTCCCTTGTCCATACAGCATACATAATGCCACCACTACCCGTTAGCATTACAACAACGCATCTCACCGATCACATCACCAGTGGCGCTTGTTAGAAGGCTTTTGTAAGATAGTTTACTCACCAATGCTAATCGGTTTTGTGCATCGCACACTGTGATGCGTGCATTCGATGAGAGTATTTCCTCGTGTTGCGCATCACGATACTCCAAACATACATACACACATACATAAGTACACTCACATTCAAACCCTCAAAAACGTTGCGGGCAACGGGTTTGTTGAACACGGTACTAATTAAGAGCACTGACATAGACTGAGTTGATGTTGGTCATCAATTATCCGTGCTCTCATTCAATCGGAATGTCTCATTCATTCTGGGCGCTAAACGCGAAAGTTTCGCGATCAATCTTGGTTACGGGGTCAGGTCAGTCATCATAACGCCAACGGTTCACGCTTCTTTGTATAAAGTGGCGGTGTAAATGTGCGGTTACAGTGAAATGGAAGCACAAAATCAACAATTGTTATCAATTTGGTCTACACACACGAGCCGTTATCCGAACCATTCATCTCCTATTGTTTATCCTGTGGATACGGACAATCTACGCCGTGTTTCGAGTAAGCCGAAGTTGTAAGTGCTGCAAGTAGTACAGCGACAGTTTTGCCTACTTTCGGAATGGAAAGTCCAAACACGGACTAAAGTTGATACTCGGTCCATTGTCTCACACAAACAGGTGCATGAAGCCTGAGTGTCCGGCAAGAAACAGTGACTAAGATTTGAACCTAGTGTTTCCACCGCTGCTGAAAACATTCGGTCCACTTTGATTCCTATGCTAACCTAGCTAGTTACATCATTTGACTGAACCCAACATTCACAAAGGTTAACTGTCGAACAAAAATAGCCGTGAAGGACTTTGCGGTTAAAACGGAAATCGACATCGAGCCAAGGCAAAGCACGACTTTATACCACCAAACTGGGGAGCGGGGGGGGGAGAGAATGCTAGGGAAGTTGCAACCTTACAAATGGCGTTGCGAAAGTAGCAACGACTCGAACTCGACCACGGTGTCCAATATGGTTCGCTACATCCCTCATAACCCAGCCCAATCCATCCCATATTAGCAGACAGGATCGAGCAGCAACTGTCTCTGTGAAGAGGAGTATGTGACAGTGAAACCCTGGTTACTCTGAGGAATCGCAGAATCGACCCCCCCCCCTTTGGTTCGACGACGACGTTACGACACAGGTTTTGGAACACGGAATTTTTTTATGGGTTGGAAACTCCCGCTTATTTCATTTCTCTGTAAACTTCAGCAGACTGTTCTCCGAAGTTCCATTTAGATATGGTAAAAGGTGTAAAAACGAAAAAAAAATGCATGTTGTGTTTGATCTGCGTTTTCATGGGGTTCTTCATTGTTGTATTGATCTCAGTGAAGTGTGGACAAACCATTTGGCTTTATATATATATATATATATATATAATGTTTGGGTTCATGTATTGTAAACATCTTCGTCATGCTTATAAAATCACATCACGGAGTTGGATGATCCCAGTGTTATTTATGTATATTTATAGAGAGAGTTGAGCTAGTCGACCAAGATGTTTTAGTACTTTCTTCCTTCTGTTCGAATTTATCTGTGAACCAGTTCATTTTTTCAATGTGTGAGCACCATTTTATCGTCTGACGTGTTAGTTTAATTTCCTGTGTTATCAACTTAACAGGCGAAAAAAGAAGTGCATCCGATTTTTGACCGACGCGGAATATGACGAATCGGAATTTCCATCCTCACCTCCGTCCATCGGCATCTCGGCCACCACAACAGGTACTGGAGGAACAACCGCGCCTGTACCACGGGATTCCAGCACACACCCAACCTCACTTTACGCATCCAGTGTGTTGCCCACCTCTGTCTCTTCCTCGGTCGCTGATCTGGCGCGTTGTTCATCTTCCTCGTCTGAACCTAGTGTCAGCCAGTCGGGTGCGGGAGCCGGTGGTGTCGATTTATGGTCTTGTTACGTGCCCAATTTGCCTGGGTCTGGACCGAAAACAAGTCCGCCAGATACCCCGTCTGGACGCAATTCTTATGCTGCTCCGAGTCGAACGCCCAATCCCGCTCCACCCGGTTTGCCCGTTGTCCGTCGTCAATCGGCCGATCATACATCTACTACAGGTCCTAATGCCATCACGGATCGTTTCAAACGGGAATCAAGCGAAGAGTTGAGCACGTCTGGAAGTACCAGTTTGTTACGTGGATCATCTTGTCCGGTCGGCGGAACTAGTGAAGCTCATGCTGCTACATCATCGCACTTAGCCTCAATTGTCTCGTTCTCCGCAACTGGATGTGGTTGAATAACAGCACGCGTGCGCGCGCGCGTTATGCACACAACCTCTCCCTCTCTCTTGGATTGTCGCACTCGCGGCACACTACTGGAGCCGACCTTGTTCACTGTGTTTCGCAATCACTCATTTCCCGGCTGTCAGATGTCCGTGACTCTATGCTCTGGTTTGTACAGAAGCGAAACACATTATCCCCAAGAAACATGTTCATTCCTTTTTTCTCTCTCTCCTTCTCGGACCTTATCTCACCCTTCCTATTCACTGAAAACCGTGCATATTATCCGTAAATAGAAACGGTAATTTCACTTAAAGGAAACTGATGATGACAATGTTCTAACGGAGGGGGTATATATAGGCCATACATTTCTTTTTTCCTCTCACACATCCTAGGATTTGTTTCCCCTCGATGTGTTCCCCGTCGACTGTTCTATCCGACTCACGGTGCGCTACAACTCTGCTTGTCCACCCACCCTTTCACCCAGTGCATCATTGATCGATTGCGCTTCAGTGCTCACGCGCCTGTTGAGAGTCACCTGCACATTGCTAGTCAACGTACATATATATATATACACACATACAAAAACGAAAATCGATACTCCCTACCGTAGACCTTTGTCTATGTTGTTTTCTGGTTCCCTGTCTCCGCGCCGCGGCCTCTAACCCGCCCACCTGTTCCCTTTTTCTCTGTTTCTCCCTGCTCACCCCCCAACACTGTCACACACACAAACCCAAAAACACAGGGTCTTTCACTCTACTGCCGTGTAGACAGTAAATCATGATAATGGCGTAGAAGTACTTCACTTTTCGCCCTCTTTTTGCGACTCACCCAACTAACTCATTGACTGACTGATCACTGGCATTGATGCTACACCATACCCACTTTATCGGCAATTGTTTTTTCTTCACTGAATTCCTTCTTGTTTCATTTTATTCCACTGTTTTCTGTGTGTGTGTGTGTGTGCATGTGCGTCATTCTCTATCCTCGATTTGTCTCTGTTATGCAATCGCTTCGGTGCGATCTGTGACCCCTTCGCTCTCTCATCCCGACCACACACTCACTGTCTTCAATCACCGGTTCACTGATCCAGATCGTTTTGCACGTCTCATGTTTGATGCTGTCCTCATGTTCCATTGTGCCCGTGCTTTCCGACTCACCCGACCCATTCGCACTTTTATTATGTACACACACACATACACTTCAATCTCTGTGATCGTATTCCATTTGCAAGTGTTCGACTGATTTCGTATACTTCGTTGTATCCCCTCCACCCAGGTCTACTGTAACCGACCAGCAGCTGCTCGCTAGTCTCTAGGACCATCTTAATATAGGCGAGTACTGCGATCGTGAGTGAGCTTGTAGGGTACAGGGATTGGGGTCAAGAATACACCCCCTGGTCTTAACTGCCTTCATTGTCTTCTCTTTCTCTTACACACACACACACATACACTGTCCCATTTATATTTTGACACAGTTCCATCCGTGTCCGCTGTGCCTCCTCCTCCCGATCTAATCCCATATCCACCGCCGCCATCACTTTCGGCTTCCAAGCGCCACAGGTTTCATCCCCTCCTCACTTTCCCCCTAATATTCCTCTTTTCGGAACGTGTTAACTGTCGATAGCAGGACACTGACATCGTTTCCGTTCATCATCATGTTCGACAATTGCTTTTGTATTCTCATGTGTTTGCCGATTTTCATCATCTCATACTTTTGTTCCATACATTCTCTATGACATAACCCACGCAATCCCCGCCTTCTCCCACACACGATCAACTCAATCTGCGTGTGCCATCCATCTGTCTTCACCATTCTTGTATTTGTTTTATTTCGTCTCATTTTACCCATTCTGCCTTGTGCCACCGACTCTACTCCTTTATGTCTCTCTCTCTCTCTGACTCCATCTCGAGTGACCCGTTGTACAAGTCGCACATACTGCCTAGGCCCCGAACTTCCACTTGCCCCAGTTTCTCTCCGTCGCCCCCTCCCCCCACCGTTCTTTCACCTAATTCCATCAAGCCTTTATTTCATGCCCTACCTCCTTCCCATACATGCCCAGCTGGTATGCCTACCTTTCTGTTTTGTTTCATCGGTGAATGACTCCCACAAATTTCTTGGGTGCCTATTCGTGTCCGAGCTCTTCAACTCCCAGGCTCCACCGATTCACCTGACGACCACCTTTCTCTGTTCTATCTTTCACTCGACCATACACATACATATACACACACAGTGCTCTTGAATATTTGTAGTTTGCCAATGTATGACCTCTATATTTTGCTATTTCCTACTGTCTCACCGTTTGCACATTTCTGGGCTCGGCTTAATTTTCCGTCGTTATTTAATCTAACCAGTCCGTATGTGCGTGAACCGTCCAGATCGAATGCATCCAGTTGTTCGATGATTCTGGCCACCAGATTGATTTTTGCATCAAACCGGATAAGATTGGGGTTAGTCTTCCGTGTACATTGGTTCCATCGCGGTCGATGTAATTAAAATCTGCTGAAGCTATCATTGCACCGCAGCCACACACTCATGTGTGCCCCCGCATTGAAGTACGTACTCTGGACCCGCTCCGGCTAGCAGATTCGACGTGAATGCGCGACCGAATTTCCACTAGGCTCATACTGTCGGTCACGTGAGACTGACTATACGGGGCTGAAAAAATGATGAACCACGGAACAGAGAGTGTGGGACTGTGAGGAATCGCTGTCAGACAGGTTCTCTGTGGCTAGCTGAGAGGGGGAGGGGTATACAACAGATCTGTGGGGATTATGAACAAAAACAGTATAAACACAAAAGGTTCAGTGAGCTGCAAATACTCGCATTCCAGGATGATTGGCCCTGGTTGACTGATGTCACATTCAGTTTCTGTTATCTTTGCATCGTAACATTGCAATGGCTCACTTCGAATTTAGATGTTATCTTACACTCATACTGAGAGAGATGAAATAGACATGTTACCAGTCCTTTGCGAAGAAAAGGAAAGAAAGTTTAAGAGCATTTCGAAACGGATGCATCCATTTATTTAATCAGTCATCTTCCCTCCCCCCTTCAACCATATTGGGGCATCTTTATGTGTTGGGCGCTATAGATCCATTTTTTGCAGTCGAGTGGTTTGAATGATTAAGATCAACTTTAATATCTCTAATCAATAAAACTAATCACTCGCAAAGCGGTTTTTTGTTTGCTAGGTGCCCGAAGGGAGCATTATGTTTTGCGTCACCTGGTACACTTCGTCAGTGTGATTGTCTTTACGCACAATATTCAGGTCGTCACCCAGTAAAACTTCTTTCTCAACGTTCAAGCCTCGTGAGCTCCAACCTACTGCCTATATTCGTTAGCATGCTTTTGGGCACACCTTGTCGGATGGGAAGTTGGGCACATGCTTTGTGACAACTAAAACACTTGTTATACACAATGTCCTCATGACGAATCTTCCGTCGCGCTGGGGCATGTAGTCATGACAATCGGACTGAACGAAAATGGCAGAAAGTACGATGGTGATTTAAGATTCGGAAACGTCATGGAGAATTCAATAGTTTATGAATAAAACGCTTGTGTTGGTTTCATGCTGTCTTGCGGTGGGCTCGTGGGGATAATTTTTTGAGAGTAAGAAAACACGAATTTTGTTGGAGCACTAGTCTGCTATTATTGTATTGAGAAAACGAGTCGGTGAGCGAACAATTGTTTTCGGATATTCTTAGTCATGCTCTTACATAGCATATAGTTGGAAAAATTCTTACATAATCATAGCCATTGGCTTATTTTAAAGTCAATATTCGGAGGTAGAGAGTAATGGGAGTGTGTATGTGT